ACTCGCGCCTTGTACGGCGGCACCACTGCGCTGCAAAGATGTACCGGGAGAAGCGGTATAAGAATATTCCCCTTCAGAGTCAGAATCGGCGAATAACATTTGCAACACATCCTCACGGTACAACTTTCTATTAGCCATTTGGCGATTTTCTCTCACAAATCTCACAATTTACTCGCACGCTATGAACTGAACTGCTTCCGCATCAATGACACGATAGCACACGTGCTCTGCTATTTCCTCGAACACTTTGAATAGGAACGTGACATAATTTTGGTCTAGAATCGAAGTACTACATGTCTGCCATCTAGTGGCAGGGAATACAAATGAGATATTACACCATATTAGGAACTACAGTCTATTTGATTAAGTATGACGTCTTGTCGTAATTTTGTGACTTTGGCGCTTAGAGGGTTAAGCTCCAAATACAAGGAAATACAGCAAATGTAAACAATTATGTATCATTGTGTCTCTGTGCTGGCTTCTTCTTACTCTACTGTGGTAAATTTCTCTCGTTTATATGGTCCAGGTGTAGAAATCACTGGCCTAGAGAAAAAACATGAATCCAAGCTCATGAAATAGAAGACAGGTATGGAATATAAAACCAGAGGCTGGCACAACCATCCCATGATGACTGTATTTCAGCTAGGTTTCTGTGGCGGCACTGAGATCTCAGTAGGATACTAAATGCATGAGAAGAGATGGCCAAGTGTGAGCGGAATTCCAAGTCAAGTGCACATTGGGTTGTTTCAGTGGCTGTTAGGAGCTCATATTGGTATTAAGTTTTCATCACAATGGAGAGTCAGTTACAAGAATGTTAAAAGTGTATGTGCGTCTAGGGGTAGATCTGCTGTTTCTCTTTCAATGTGTGAATTTCAATAGACATGTGCTTTCACTGTATGACCTAAATGGAGTATGGCTGGACAATATATTGAATATTCAAAATATATTCAATATAATTATTCGGTGATATAAAATTGCAATGATTTTAATGCACTTTTTATTAGACCACTAATTGTCCTAAAGACCACTGCGATAGGCCAGTTTGGAGTATGAGAGCGCGAATACAAATATAATTTAATAGGATCTCTAGGATTTAAACTTAATTAAAGTGGTGACAAAGCTGGGGAATTCGATTCATTTATGTTTTCTTGTTTGCTTCAAAGAATCAGTTCAATGATTCACTTAGGTCATTGCTCATGGAAATTCATGCGTAGCATTGTGCATATTATGATATGGTTTAGTAAAAATACATACAGGTAAATATTTAATTTTATAATTATACAGCAAAACAAAATATATTGATAAAATATAAAAATAAAACATGACATTTTTAACTAGGTTTATAATTGTGGCAATGACCAATTAGTCGACATGATGGTTCCACTGACTGGAAAAAAATTATGCTTTTAAACCATTTCACAGCAATACATACTTTAAATATCTACAGAAGATGTATAAGAAATTTGACATTTATTTTTATCGCCCCTTCACAGAAAGTTCAAAACAGCCTTTATACTAAATGTTCTCTTGACACATTTTTCTGCAAACCAACAAATACTGTAATATGTGTGTGTTATAATAACCAGTATAGTCCTCCAATCAAGGTCTCTCTCTCACAACTGTGTGTGGTTAATGAGTGAAGATTATTGTGCTTATGTTATAAGTACTATGTGTATAATGTCTGAATATCAAAACTAAGACTTTCATAATATTATATTATGAAAAGACAAGTTACATGTGAGTTACATTCGCTAACACAGATTCAGATCCAAAACACACAGTTATCAACTCTATATGCTATAATTTATACATTTATTTTATAGACTGTACATATAATTTAAATGAATAATAAAAAAAACTCTCAAAAAACCAATCCAAACCACAGCACTCCAAGAAAGAATGATGATTGGTGTGTTAGAACGCATGCACTCTGTTACAAACCGTGTCTTTAGGATGGCCCATTAGGAAGAAATAGGGGGAGCCATGGTTGTCACTTTTCATGCACATGGAGAGACTGGAAGGTACCATTCCTATAAGAGGTGAAGTAACAACCTAGACCAATCATTAGGGTTAGAACAGTAGCCACAGGCTAAGACAGTATTAAGATCAGTGCTGAGATAGTATTCAGTGAGGAAAATTGGGAACGGAAGTGAGAATTATTTACTAACAGCCATAACACAGATGAAAGAGAAGAAGACTAGCTATATCTGCATTAATACAAAGAGCATGCTGCCACAGTCATGTTAATGAAGTGTTGTGTTAGCAGGAAAATTGTATTAGTGTACAAGAGAATGTTTTTTTTCCCAGTCGCTTTGGCTCAATTCTTAAATGAGATTTTTTTCTCTCTCAAAACAGTAAGTTCAGATCATTGAACAATGATTGAATTTCTTACTAATTTTATGCAAGTTGTACATGTTTTGGCAAACGTGACCAAAAGAGTACATACTTTGCAGAATAACAATCCACATGACTTGCTGATCAAAACTTATTAGTTAATTCTCAGTGAAACGGTCATGTTCTTCACAACTAAAACATTCCTTTATTGCATGTTGGAGAAAGTGTTAACAGCAGTATGAACTGATGTTTTTACTGTTGGTGTTTTATTCTTTTTTAACATTAGAAAGTTAGTGAAAAGAAGAAAAATACAACTTTTAGATATCAATCTGCACATGTGATGGACATCAGTTAAGAGGATCCCTGGTATTTCTTTTGAAGGCATCTTGAGTAAAACAGTTAAATATTTAACAAAACACATACAAAAGACCTGAATCGGAAGCGATGCAACCTGTTTTGCAGAATAGAGACGTTTGTTGAGCATAGCCCTAATTTGACTTGCTCTTGAAATCTGATTCTAAAAAGCTCAATATGACACACAATAGCATTCAGCTAGACAAAACTGATATTCTTGTATATTATAAGCAAAAAAACAACAACATTTTGACCACTATAGCTCACATGATGACAAAAAATGTTTCATTTTGGTGCCAATTTAATGACACAATAACAAGTTTGCGAAGCATGAATTAAATGTTTTGGCTGAGTTATACATTATGTCCCATTAAAAACAGTTGTGACAGTTGCACTTACAGTTTAGAGAATTTTAAGACTGATTCAATAAATGAGCTAAAGCCGTTGAGAAAGACTAACTGATGGTGACCTTTTTCTAAAATGATCTAGGAATTCCCATTGAGAGCAGAATATTAATAATAATGTATCAAATAAAACCCGTCAACTGCACAAATCTTGCTCCTGGTGTGAATAAGTCTACAATAATTCACTATTTCACAACATATTTCAATATGTATGTTGTGATCTTCTGCCAATCTGCAAAATTATACATTTCTTAATACATTACCCAATAAAATATGACCTTCTCCAAAGATCAAATTGATGGTTACTCCATCTCTTGAGACCCTGTAAACTAAGTGAACTAAAGCTGTAGACATTTCTGAGCAGTAAGATATGTGTTCAGACAGTCTGTGTAAACCTACCATACTCAGGGACCTGCCCTGTGCCTCTCTTGAGCAGCAGGCGAACTCTACGGCCACCCGATTTGATGAGTTCAATGGCCCGAGCGTGGGTCATATCCCTCGTGCTCTCCCCATTTATTTCAATGATCTGATCACCAACCTGAAAAACAGACAAAATATGACTATTATCTGTTTGAAAAGGTGTTTTTGATGGAAAATCCATCTTAAGCAAAACGGTCTACTCTCCAGAATGTTCATCTAGCATTCAAAAACCTACGTTTGTGAAGACAGATGTGCAAATGCATGTACAAAACAGCAGTAATTATTTTCTGACAGCTTTGAATTGCACCCGCTCTGGTTTTAATTATAAAATTAATATGACTATCATTTATTAAGGATAATTGTTCAGTAGGATCAATATAGGTCCATAACTCATGTCGGCTGTTTCGGTTAAGCGCTGATCAGCATTAGCAGTCATGAATGAGATCGAGTACTCATTAATTTCAGAATTAACATAAATGGATGAATGAATCATGGGTACAAGGTTCCTATGAGCTACAATACTGATGCTCTTCATCAACCGTGAGGAAGGTGTACGGCTATTGGGGATAATGAGGGACTGGTTAATTGCCCTTCTTTGATACAAAGGAAGCCGGTATGATCACTATTACTACAATTAGTTGCCCACCAACTTACTTATTTTTTTCTTGTCATATTTTATGTTTTATCTTAATATTTCTAGCAGCAGTTGTGTCTCTAAATTCATCTTCATTACAGCATAGCCATCAAAGTGCCACTTGTGTAGCGAATCCACCGCCTTTAACAATACATTTCAAGAAAATTACTGTCAGTACTGTCAGACTGTCTGATCATTTGCTGTGAGCAATATTCCTGTTATTATGCATAATCTGTAGGTCTCATTTTGTGTGTGTGTGGGCTAAGATGGTTTTGTGTTATAAAAAGCTTAAAGATTTTTTGTTCATTTGTTAAATATCGCTGTTACCCTGTCAAACAAACACACATTTTTTGTTGTTTATCTATGTTCCCATGTAGATGGATTTATCTCAACCCTTTTTCAGTGTCTTGCTCTGCCAACATTTCTTTAAAGTCTTCTTTGTTCCTTTTGTTGCTCTTCTTCTGCTTAATTACTACTTGACTAATCATTCAGAAAACCTATAGACTAATGATACAGACTAATTTATAATATCTAATTTGCTTTATTTTATTTTTCACACACACACACACACACACACACACACACACACACACACACACACACACACACACACACACACACATATGTGGTTTGCTATTCTTGTGGGGACTCTCCATAGGCGTAATGATTTTTCTACTGTACAGACCCATATATTCTATTGCCCTACACCAAGCCTACCCCTAAACCTACCCCTTACAGGAAACTTTCTGCATTTTTAGATTTTCAAAAAACTTAATTCTGTGTGATTTATAAGCTTTTGTACCCGTGGGGACCACAATTTAGGTTCCCACCGTGGCACGAGTCCCCATGAGTCTGTGTGTAGTCAGGTTTAAGTCCCCACCAGAATATATAAACCAGTACACACACACACACACACACACACGTCTGGTTTGCTATCCTTGTGGGGACTCTCCATAGGCGTAATGCTTTTTCTACTGTACAGACCGTATATTCTATTGCCCTACACCAACACTACCCCTAAACCTACCCCTTACAGGAAACTTTGTGCATTTTTAGATTTTCAAAAAACTTCATTCTGTGTGATTTATTAGCTTGTTTACCCGTGGGGACGTCAACTTAGGTCCCCACCGTGACACGAGTCCCCATGAGTATGTGTGTAGTCAGGTTTAAGTCCCCACCAGAATAGAAAAACAGGTACACACACACACACACACATGTCTGGTTCACTATTCTTGTGGGGACTCTCCATAGGCATAATGGTTTTTATACTGTACAAACTGTATTTTCTATCACCCTACACCTAAACCTACCCCTCACAGGGAACTTTCTGCTTTTTTACAATTTAAAAAAAAAAACTAATTCTGTGTGATTTATAAGCTTCTGTACCCATGGGGACCTCTATTTAGGTCCCCACGGTAAGTCCCCATGAGTTGGTGTGTATTCAGGTTTAAGTCCCCACCAGTGTAGAAAAACATGTACACACACACACACACGTATATATATATATTTTTTTTTATTATAATATAATATAATATAATGTAATATAATAAATTTTATATTGTAGTAGCCTAATGATTGTTTGCCATTGTGTTAAAAAAACAGCACAACATAATAAATAATACAAATTATAATCATATATCAAATAATTGTTGAATATTAGTTCTGCTAATCGGTTATTAGAGAAGAAAATATGGTTGAAAAAAACTATTTTTCACATCCTTAATAAATACCATAATAAATATCATAATTTCCCTTAACATACAAACAAATAATCTAGACAAGGTTGCATAATTTAGAAAATATAGGTGCCCCTAAAACAGGAAAAGCATATATGCTGATGCTGAGCATGTAGGTGCACTAAACTTGTCTTGTGTCTGTGGACTAATTGGCCAGGGGCTGGGGAAAAAGAACGAGCCAATTATAGTAACAAATGGAGTATTCCTCTCAAATGGTCTGGATAATGTGGAAGTCCGGGCAGGTCGCTGCCAGTGCTGGGCGGCTAGTTTTTTATGACTCATTAAGATCTTGTTTGAATGAGGGGCAGAGAGCAGTATGACCCTCAACTCTCTCATTTCTGACAAGGAGTGTCTCGTTTTTTGTTCCTACACTATGTCTGGGGTCGGTTCCTCTGACCTCTGGGGTGGAAATTGTTAGTAAAAGCATCACAGCTAGCAGTGTCATCAGCCCTCTCATGTTTTTGGTGTATCTAGAGGGCATGTGTGGAAATCTACAGCAGCAGCAGCAGTCTACTGGGGGCTATATGACTTCATGCTTAATGGACTTTTTTAAATACCACGGGTCTGTTCCACCACAAACTAATTAAAGATTCAAAAAACATTTTGTGCTGCGGTTATATTCACGCCCCAAAAGAAGGGTGATGTTTACAGTCAGAACTGAGGCTCTTGAATGGAAGGTAACGGTCACTGAGTGTGATCTGATGGTAATGGACTAAATATGAAAGGCTGTAATGAGAGGTACAAAAAGAGAGAGGATATCCTAAGGGGACTGTTTTATTCACATTAGCTATGACAGCTTCATTACAGATACGAGCTGAACAAGGAACAGAATAGCAGCAGAATAGGATGGATGGGTGGATGGATAGATAAATAGACACACAGAAAGACAGATGATGAATGCATAGATAGATAGACAAATAGACAGACAGACAGAGATAGACAGATGATGGATGGATGGATAGACCAAAAGACAGAGAGAGGGAGACAGACAGATTATGGTGGATGGATGGATGGACAGACGGACGGACAGACAGACAGAAGGACAGGCAGACAGACAGAGAGATGATGGAAGGATGGATGGATGGAGGGAAGGATGGATGGACGGACGGAAGGACAGGTAGACAAACAGAGAAACAGACAGACAGAGATATGATGGAAGGATGGATGGAAGGACAGGCAGATAGCTAGATAGACAGACAGATGATGGATGGATGGGTGGATGGATAGATAGATAGATAGACACACAGAAAGACAGATGATGGATGAATGCATAGATAGATAGACAAATAGACAGACAGACAGACAGAGATAGGCAGATGATGGATGGATGGATAGACCAAAAGACAGAGAGAGGGAGACAGACAGATTATGGTGGATTGGTGGATGGATGGACAGACAGACAGAAGGACAGGCAGACAGACAGAGAGATGATGGAAGGATGGATGGATGGAGGGAAGGATGGATGGACGGACGGAAGGACAGGTAGACAAACAGAGAAACAGACAGACAGAGATATGATGGAAGGATGGATGGAAGGATGGATGGAAGGATGGATGGAAGGATGGATGGAAGGATGGATGGAAGGATGGATGGAAGGATGGATGGAAGGATGGATGGAAGGATGGATGGAAGGATGGATGGAAGGATGGATGGAAGGATGGATGGAAGGATGGATGGAAGGATGGATGGAAGGATGGATGGAAGGATGGATGGAAGGATGGATGGAAGGATGGATGGAAGGATGGATGGAAGGATGGATGGAAGGATGGATGGAAGGATGGATGGATGGATAGACCAAAAGACAGAGAGAGGGAGACAGACAGATTATGGTGGATGGATGGATGGACAGACAGAGAGAAGGACAGGCACACAGACAGAGAGATGATGGAAGGATGGATGGATGGAGGGAAGGATGGATGGACGGACGGAAGGACAGGTAGACAAACAGAGAAACAGACAGACAGAGATATGATGGAAGGATGGATGGAAGGACAGGCAGATAGATAGATAGACAGACAGATGATGGATGGATGGATTGATGGACAGAAAGCTCACCCTCATTCTTCCATTGCGTATTGCTGGTCCATCTTCAGCCAATCGTAGAACAAACAGGTCCATCTTATACTCGCGGCCTCCACGGATACTAAAGCCAAAACCTTTCATACCCTTTTCTAAATCAACCGTGAAGTAATCAAAATCCTGCAAACACACACACACACACACACACACATTATGGACATGCATAATGCATACATTATGGAAATGAACTGTCAGTGCCACTTCAGTGAAGAATTATGATATCAGTGTGTATTTCTACTCCATATAAAACTGTAGCACAGTGTATGCGTGAATACATAGTGGCAGCAGAGCTACCTGTGGCATCCTGTAGTCGGGTAAGGGGAAGGTGCGAGGGTCAGTGGACAGCTGTCTGTAGTCCAGCAGCGGGGGGTGTCTATAATCGAGCGTTGGTGGCTGTCTGTAGTCTGCTACAGGAGGGTGTCGGTAGTCCACCGGGGGCTGCCGGTAATCAGTGAACGGCTGCCGAATATCAGGTTTTACATCCTGTCTTGCTTTCACCTCTGACCTGTAGCTGAACAACCAATCAGAGCAGAACCAATGGCATTTGGTGATGTAGAATCTTATGCAAACATTTGGAATATATGCAATAACAAGTGAGACTTGGACTACTTCTATGGTGTTTTTATTGCAATTTCTTGTCAAACGTGTCTGCAAAAATGTGGAAATTCAAAATTGTAGCTTTTTTTTTGCAACAAAAGCTGTAATATATATATATATACTGTATATATAAGAATGGGGAGATTCTCTCATAATATTTACTCTGTTTATGTCTGTTTTCCAGCAGATGCCGTCAAAAACGACCTACCACTGACGGAGCTACCTCTCTAATGAATTTTAAAGTTTAATGCAGGATAATGTTCTGTTGAAAATGGCGAAGCCTGAGGAGCTCTAGGGTGTATATTGAAACTTGAGTGAGCATGGAGAGGAAGTGAAATCATTGGTCCCTGCAGGCTATATAAATGATTAAAAACTGTTTTAAAGAGCCATGTAGGTAAATTATTCAGTTCTGTAAGAGATAAGTGATTTTACGCAACAACCAAACAGTGAGAGGGAGTCTGTGACTCAGAGAGGTTCAGATTCACTCTAAAATAAATAGTGAACTTTAGTAGAGTAGCTACTAGAGCAGACCAACAGTAAAACTAGTGCAACAGCTTAAAACATATTTAAGTAATACATTGGACATGCATAATGTCTGAATTTACACATTCAGTTTTGTTTAAAACATATTTAAGTAATAATGTAATTTGTGTTGGCCTTGCCTGCTGTCATGGCTGTAGATCTGTACTGGCACTGCGGATGGCTGGGTGGGCGGGTTCTGTTGGGTCACTGAGCTGGGCTGATTAGCTGGGCTGGCTTGAGTGACAGGGCTCGGTTGTGCTTCCGAACTAGGCTGCATTATGGGGCCGGGCTGAGGTGCAGAATTGGGTTGAGGGGTGGAGTTGGGTGGATGGGCAGCACCCGTCTGGTTCACAGTGCTGGGTTGGCAAACTGGACTGGGCTGGGCCATAGGGCTCTGCTTCTCTGAGCTGCCTGCAGAAGGCGTGCTGTTTGTCTCTGAAAAATGGAGAAAAGACAAAAAGCTAAGCTATTTTCAGAGTTTCTCTTTGTAACACAGGTAAAAAAAAAAAATAAAAAAAAAAGTGAAGTGTCATGTGGCCAAGTATGGTATATGGTATTAAGTATGGTATTATTTTTTATTCTAAAGCAACAGTTTAAGGGTTGCATGAGTACCGTTTGCATGTACCATCTATGTTATTTTACCACTAAATTCACAGAAATAATTATGCAAATAAAATAACATCGCAAACATGCCCAAAATCTGTGAATGCAATTAGAATGCCACAGTTTTCCATGTTGGAGGCTGGTTCAGAGCGCTAGTTCATGAAGTATTCAGCAGACTACCATAATCTGGCATACTTTACTAAACGGCACAGCATTGCAATTTTGAATAAGGCGGAATCTATAATAAACATAATTTACATAGAAAGGAAGCATGTCAGCATGAAAAAGGAATGCCAATGAATAGTTAAAGTGGATTTCTGTACCATAAACAAATGGTGCAACCATTTCGTGAATTTGCATTTCTAAAGGATAGTTCACTCAAAAATGAAAATGCTGTTATCATTTACTTACCCTCGTGTCATTATAAACCTGTATGACTTTCTTGCAATTTTAAATTGTTTTTTTTTAAACATTTGTATTTAATTTTAGCACTGACATTTCAGGCACAATCTCACAACCCCCCTGTAATTTTATCACAAACTACTAGGGCTGTCCAAAAAAAATTCGAATTTCGAATATTTGTCGAATTTAAAAATAAAAATCTACATTCGAATGCAAAAACGTTGCATTCGAATTTTAGTTGTGCATCAGGCAGCTTTATCAGTGGTGCACGAGATACGATGACGATGTAAGCGTCATTCCATTTGAATGTTTTTCTTATCCTATCCAGTTGAACCCACTGCTATGTTGTTCATTAAAATATTGCGGGAAAAAGAACATAATGCGGAGATTATGTTGTTTACGTCAAAACCAAAACCAAACCGTTCACACAGAATGCATATTTATCACATTTTCTAGAGGGACATCTATCATTGTTACACTCGCGTCTCGCACAATAGAGCCACATGTTTAGAAAGCCATGTAAAATTAATGTAAGTTCAACTTTTTAAAAACATGTCTCAAGACTTTAGGGTGGTTTTTCCCCATCCTACTGCATCTCATATTTTTAAATGAAGAAAGTACTCTTTGTGATTGGTTTTCGGTCTTTTGTATTAAACTATACATACATGCATTATTCTGTTTTGTTTCTAATTGTTTAAGCAACTTTAATTATATAAGGTTTATAAACATTGTTTTAAAAATTATGCACTTTTTTCAAAGATAGTCGTGTTATTTTATTATGCTATTATTATATTTTATATTATATTTTATTATGCTATTATTATATATATTTTATTATTTTGTTCGATGCGCCCTCTTGTGGCCTCAGGAGAGAAGCCAAAAGCTTTTTTCCCACCCTAATGGAAATTATGCCTTTTAAATTCTAATATAATTAGAATATTGATAATATTTAAGTACAAAATTCCAATTTAGTTTTTCAGCTATTTTGACAGCCCTACAAACTACCATTCAGAAAAAAACAGTAATAGCATCCAATCACATTTTAACTTCTAAAAATACTTATATTATGCTTTAAAAAAAAACTGTCAAAGGATAGCTTGTTTGAAATAATTCCGATTATTTAAAAAACAGTCAGAGGCTCCTTAAAGCTACAGCATAAAATCTCTGCTTCACCAAGCACACGGCAAAAATAACGTTCCACAAACACCCTGACCAGTCCTTTTACCCCACCCTCTTCTATTGTTCAGAAAAACAGGTAGTCCCGCCCAACCTCACACTATTGGTTGAGCCATTTGACATGTCAGAGCAATGTTCAGGAAGTCGACCTGTAAATGGCTTACTTAAAGTTGTCTCTGCATATTAAACTCAGATAAAATAAAGTATTTTAACACTGAAATGGGTATTACACATAGTCGCTTCAGTAGAAGAATTATGTAAGAGTCAATCTTTGTGTAAAAGTCCCATTCAAACAGTTTCACAGATGTCAACTCACCCTCCTGAGGGATGATCCTGAGTGTGACGCTGAGTCCCGCGTCCTTGATCAGTTTGACGATGTCGGCGTGTGGCATGTTGACGATAGACTGATTGTTGACGGCCAAAATACGATCTCCAACCCTGAGCTTCCCACAGTGGTCTGCTGGACTTCCCTCAATGATCCGGCCGATCTTATGGGGTACGGCTGACAACACACACGCACAAATACTTTTTACATAACGCATCGAGAGAGCTCTCTATCTGCACTCTGTCCTTTCCTGTTAGTGGATCTGTTTTTATATACGAGTGTGGGCGCTGCATTAGAACATTGTAACTAGCCTCTTCAGCCCTCAAAAAGGAGTGCATCCATTATTAATACACAGGTTTATGAGGACATGCTGCACTTTTAAAATCACTATGGCCCTTTGAAGCAGCCAACCTGAGTAAGCTATTACAGTAAAGGAACATTCCAGATTGAAAATAAGTTCAAATTAAAGTGTGTGAAGTGTACAAAAATAATTATTCCTTACCAGCAGCAGCCGCAGATTCAGGCCTGTTCAGTGAACTGATAATAACGAATCCGAACCCTTCGCTCTCCTTGCGCTGGATGGTGACATCACTAGGCTGCAGATTGTGATTGGCTACAGTGTCTGGTGGGGAGGAGCCTGTGGTGGATGGGGCAGAGTTTTGCAAGGGAGTGGAGTTGTTATAGAACATTCTGGAGTTGAAGTCACTCCTCGGGGAACTGTGCTGGGTCGATCCAGGACTGCGGCCATTCTCTGGACAGTGTTCACCTGAAGATAAAAGAGCGAGAAAGAAAAGGACTCTGAAATCAATGGTTATATATATTTACGAAGCTGATGGGAGTTGCCAATGAGCAAGACTTCAGTCTTATCATTATTAAGACACAAGAAGTTTTCAGACATCCATATTTTATCTGAGAAATACAATGTGTTAAAAAAAAAAACATCCAAATTTTGACCAGGCCTAGAATGAGTGTCGTCTTCATAAAAATGGTAATTAAGCTCATGTGATCTTAGAAGCAGTCCGAGTGGAAATATGTAAATGCATAAAAGTTAAGGGGCCTAAAATTGAACCTTGAGGAACACCCGTATGGACAGAGCCCATCCAAAAACCACTCATACAAACAAGCTGTTGAAGATCAGTGAGGTAAGATCTAAACCAGGTTAAAACAGTCTCAGAAACACCAAAGACAGTTTCCAGACGACTGATTAAAAGGTTGTGATTAACAGTATCAAAAGAGGCACTAAGATCAAGAAGAATAAGAACAGAGCGAGAACCAGAATCTGAGGCTATTAGCAGATCATTGGTGACCTTGACCAAAGCTGTCTCAGTACTATGAAATTTTACTATGAAAGGGGTTCAAAAAGATTATTTACTATGAGATGATTGTGCAGCTGCAAAGCCACAACACGTTCTATATATTTGATTCTAATTGGTTAATCGTTGCGTTCAATGTGCAGTCAAATATTTCTGTATTATGACCACTAAACTGTATATTTCAGAAGTTCATGAGTATCTAATCAAAATAAGAACAAGAAAACATCTTTTTGGACAGGAAAGGAGGTTTTGAGTTTTGAAAGTGACAATATTTTTACATAGTAGGGTACAACGGGGCTAAAGGCGCCCCGGGGTAAAAGGCGCCTTTGATATTATTTTCATCTTTACCACTAGATGGCACAAAAACGTGGCATAGTACTTTCCAAAACATCCGCTTTTCACGATGCACGTGTGTATTTATCTGATCTTTGATGCGATCGCGCGCATCAGCGCAAAGTTGATTCTGTACTTATTGATCTAATATTTTATGTTTTTTTAAAAAAATGTTGTCGATTTAAGTAGCAAATGAGAATTGCTCAAATTAATGCATATATTTTGAGACAAAGGTCTTCTTTATGATTTTCATTGATTCAGTTGATTTTTTGTTTTGTTTAAGATAATTAAAGCAACAGTTTTTTAAATAACGAAAGAATATGTAAAAGTATGGTATTTGGGGTAAAAAGCACCCCTGCTGTTGGGGCTAAAGGCACACAGTAATTAACATGATAATTAATAGATGGCTGACTTTTCCATTTGTTGACATGACATGCTTAGATTCAGATGGTACATATCATATATTATGTGTCCATTAATGCATATATTTTGAGACAAAGGTCTTCTTTATGATTTTCGTTTTGTTTAAGATAATTAAAGCAACAGTTTTTAAATAACGGAAGAATATGTAAAAGTATGGTATTTGGGGTAAAAAGCACCCCTGCTGTTGGGGCTAAAGGCACACAGTAATTAACATGATAATTAATAGATGGCTGACTTTTCCATTTGTTGACATGACATGCTTAGATTCAGATGGTACATATCATATATTATGTGTCCATATTAGAGATAATCACCATGTTTAGAATGAAACCATCATATTTAAAAACATTATATTAATCATATCATATAATAAAATATAATTTGTTGTTACTACTGTAAATAAATATTCAATTATTATTAAATATCCTTCAATACTTTCAGAATCTTTACTTATTAAAATGATTTTGTTTCTATATTTTAATGACATTTCATATTTTATTTGTCAAAATAAGCAGAAAATAGTACAAACTTTGCTAAAGTGATTGTTTTGAACAAGTATTAACTTAGACATAATTGAAAAAAAAAAATAGCTTAAAAATTTTAGCATTATTTTAGCTGAAATATTTGTATCAGTACCGTGTGCCTTTTACCCTATGCTGGTGGGCCTTTTACCCCATGTGTGGAGTAAAAGGCCCATCATGCCACCTCATACATTTATACGATTTTTAAACAAAATAAACAACTTGAATGATTTATTTTCACACAAAATCTGTTGCTCCATTAATGTCCAATACAACGTATATATTTTTTCTGCAATTATACATTTTAGGTGCAGTGAATAGCACCTTTTTTTTTAAGGTGGGCCTTTAGCTCCGTTGTACCTTATATAACGATTTACAAGCTTGGGTAAGATTTTGTTACTTTTCTTTGAAAGAAATGTATGCTTTTATACTGCAAAGACACAATAAATAGTTTAAAAATGACAGTAAATACATTTATAATGATACGAAAGATTTCTATTTCAAACAAACATTGTTCTTTTGAACTTTCTATTCATCAAAGAATCCTAAAAAAAGTATGATATCAGAATATATCAGAATGATTTATGAAGGATCATGTGACACTGAAGACTGGAGTAATGATCCTGAAAATTCAGCTTTGCATCACAGGAATGAATTACATTTTTATACTCAAAATATATTCAAATATATACATATATTCAAAATATTACTAGGACAATTATAACTTTAATATATTATTTATTTATACTTCTAACAGCTACATTAAAAACATTAAATACAATTTGTAGATACAGAAACAGGTATCAACTATGATTAATACAAGTGAATGTGAGAGAGAGAGAGAGAAAGAAAGAAAGAGTCTATAGTATAGGGTTTGGCTAAAGCTGGTCTGAAGTCCTTCTGTGATCAAACGGTAAGCCAAAAAAAGCCAGCAGCCAGACATTGCCTCAACCGCTCCACTGAGATAAAAAGGGGGAGAAACGATTGTCCAGGGAAGAAAGAAAGAAAGAGTCTATAGTATAGGGTTTGGCTAAAGCTGGTCTGAAGTCCTTCTGTGATCAAACGGTAAGCCAAAAAAAGCCAGCAGCCAGACATTGCCTCAACTGCTCCACTGAGATAAAAAGGGGGAGAAACGATTGTCCAGGGAAGATAAGACTGAGAGGATGAGCCAGACAGCGGGACGGATGAGGGAGGTAGAGCTCGAGAGGGCACAGAATCTGAGCCTCAGCTACACCAAGAATTATTAGACAGAGTGGACGGGAGAGAGGCAGACAGAGGACACATAATAAGCAGCAGAGTTAACAGAACCTGCTTCATTACCTCCATATATATATATATATACTTATATATACTTTGCAACAATCTATAAATGCTGTAACTGTCAGGAAATGACAAGCTTTAGCCTTTAAAGGTTGTTTCTTCAGCTTCAGGCAGATTTATGCCCCAAGGGTTTATTATTATTATAACTTTATTATTATTAAAACAAAAGTCATTTTTTTCTCTCTCTCTCTTTTGATATATGAACGTCATATTAAATCTGCACTGGAAACTTTGGATCATGCTACCATCTTTTATTCTTGTTATTTTTCAAATGTGTTTTATGAGCATATTTTATTGCTGAACTCTTGTCCTAGACCCAGACTTTTAATCTTAAACTATGAAAATCCATTTTGAAAATACATGTTACATGTTTAGAACTATGATCATTTAAAACAAAGCTGAAATAAACAATTTCATTATTTAATTTATGCCAATGTAAATATGAATGTTCCTCATTTGGTGTCATTTCCACCACAACAATCAATTTTGACCCTAATAAATTTTCATTTTTATAACAAAAATCAAATGTTAGTGTGCTTGGTTACCATGGAGACAACAGTGAAATGCATGCTTGAGATGAAATATAACACATGTGACGGTGAAGAAGGTAAATATCACATATTTGTTCAGATTTAACAAATAAATAGTAAAATCCCTTGTGTTTCGCTAGCTTGCTTGTGGGGTGTAAAAGCTTTTTTAAACATTTTATGTTCACTTTTGATATTATGATTGTGTGTCATTTCCAATCAAACTGTAATATTTGTAATATTATGCAGAAACGTTGTTGTTTAACTGTGTTTTAAGGATACATAAAATGTAGCAATGAAATTAGCCTTAGCAAGACAAAGAAGGTAGCCACTTTCCACTCAAAATGTTAAAAATGACATTTCTACCACAAATTGCTATTAAACACAATAGATATGACACTATATTAAAAGATGTACGTTCACTGTTGGACATTGTTGGTAGACAAATGAAATAAACATCAGCCATTTCTCACCTGTGGACTGAATTCTCCGTCGTACAGTGAGTTTAACCTGCCCAGTCCGAGCCGCCCCGTGCATGAGGTCAATGACATAACGGTGGGGTTTTCCAGCCACAGGGATCCCATCGACTGACATCAGCTCATCTCCTGGCCGGAGACGCCCGTCTTTATCTGCTGGGCTCTTCTCGATGATTGCACCAATCAGGATCTGTAAATGCACAGCACGGTTATTACAGACTCTCTTTAAACTATATACGGAAACTAAAGTGGATGAACAGACACATTATCATGGTAGCAAATGACAGTAAGCTCTGTTTTAGGGAGCGTGTGGTTAGTCCTAGAGTACGGGCCTTCTCCTGAGCCTCCGGACTCACAGGCTGTCCTGGTTCCTCTCCGCCCAGGATCCTGAAGCCAAAACCGGACTTCTGTCTGCGCAAGTGCACCTCCACCTCCTGGAACTCTGACGGTGTCAATGAAAACACACATTTATCTCACAACTACGACTATTCTCATCCTTCAAGTGAAATTTAGTGTTCTGGATGACATTTAAGACCCCCATTTCTGTTCATTGAGTCCTTAATTTGTAAAATCATTCATTTTATGTTCTTGAACCTGCATTGAGAGCTTCATTCTCAAGGCAGTGCGAATGACAAGTGGCAAAAGCTGGCAAAAAATAAAATCTCCAGCTAGTATTTCACAGAGGTCACAATAAGTGCATAAAAAATGAATACTAGACTTTCAGACTTTATTTGCATTTATATTTTATATATACTTTAAATGATTTTAATGTGCAAGGCATTACACTGTACTTTCTATTTAGACTTTATTTTATTACCATTTCAGAGCAAATACATAAATACTAAATATTATTTCCAGCCTTTTTTTTTAGCTTTTTGTAATGATAGTTTTGATGAAAAATGTCCTTAAAATTGGCATATGATTTTAGGCGTATGATTTTAGTATTTGAAGAAAATAAATGCAGAAAAATGTCAAACTGCAGCAGGCCAAACTTTATGCCAAATATAAAAAAAAAAATGTATAGAGGTCATAAAAACTGGATATAAAAAATGAACTTCAAACTTTCAGACTTTATTTTATGCAGCACTCCTTCTGTCAGATTGTTTCTGTTTTGGGTGTAGATTTATTTACTCACCGGAAGGGTCAGCTGGGAGAGCTCCTCGAGGAAGCCCTGGCTCTAAGAAAGGGAGAGATACAAGGACAGCCCATAAATCACTGCTTACATAAACACACACACCTGTAAATATACTAACTACAACATATACATCACCTGTCTCACTAATATAATGCCCAACAGCTACAAAGCAATGAAGATATATGTGAATATACAGTGCCCACAAAAATGCACTTGAAGCACACTTAAAATGTCATTTCATAACAAAATGATGTGAACTACTTTGACAAGTCTGACTGACTTTTAATCAACTGGTGTTTAGGTGTTTTATAGTGGATGTACGAAGTCAGTTCTTGATTTTGAGGTTTTAATTATATAATATCTCAAAACTCAAGTTCATCTCCTGGCTCAGAGCAGACATACACTGAGATCGGCATGAGCAGCGCATTTCGGCCTGAAAACCTAAACACGGCCATACATTATGCTATATGTATATTGCATTTAAACTAGGTGCCAGGTGAAGCTTGAGCCTGATTCTGAGAGGGAGTCTGATCTGAACTGCATCATTCCTGCAACCTCATCTGCCTCTCTGCTGGAGCTGGTTGATATTCTGGTGATATTTAACCAACATATTGGTATATACTGGGATGATTTACATGCTTTTCATTCGACTGTAGCAGTAGGCTGGTTTAAGTACGACAGTGTCAAGATGCTTAGCTCTCTAATTTAAACCTCAATTGCATTAGAGTTTGATTCAGGCAAATGAGCTCTTTTGAAATGAATCAGTTCAGAATTAAATTATTTGTGGAAGTCTCTGTGTGATATTTTGCATGCTTTGGAATGTTTCAATAAACATATGCAGTTGAATGTTGCTGTTTATTATTATTTATTGTAAATTGAGTGCATATAAAATGATTAAATAATTTTCTTTGCATTCAATAAGAAGAGCATGGAAAACACGCTTTAAATACATTAACTTTTTAATGATTGATAGAATTTACCATACAACGCCATTTCAGAGCAAATACATAAATACTGAGATATTAATTTCAGCCTTTTTACAACATAAATAGTTCAAAAAAGTGTTTTTTGATGTCCTGATAAGGTTTCATTCAAAAAAAGTATAAAGCAATAGTTTAAAGGTATAAAATGATAAAAAAAGGTAAAAGTATAAAGGTTTATGAATTCAACCATCAAAAATTACATAAAATATGCATTAACATAAACAGAATATGTGTCGTTGTTGTTGTTAAAACCTAAGCTCCTTAAAAAATGCTTCTGGTTTAAGTACGACAGTGTCAAGATGCTTAGCTCTCTAATTTAAACCTCAATTGCATTAGAGTTTGATTCAGGCAAATGAGCTCTTTTGAAATTAATCAGTTCAGAATTAAATTATTTGTGGAAGTCTCTGTGTGATATTTTGCATGCTTTGGAATGTTTCAATAAACACATGCAGTTGAATGTTGCTGTTTATTATTATTTATTGTAAATTGAGTGCATATAAAATGATTAAATAATTTTCTTTGCATTCAATAAGAAGAGCATGGAAAACCCGCTTTAAATACATTAACTTTTTAATGATTGATAGAATTTACCATACAACGCCATTTCAGAGCAAATACATAAATACTGAGATATTAATTTCAGCCTTTTTACAACATAAATAGTTCAAAAAAGTGTTTTTTGATGTCCTGATAAGGTTTCATTCAAAAAAAGTATAAAGCAATAGTTTAAAGGTATAAAATGATAAAAAAAGGTAAAAGTATAAAGGTTTATGAATTCAACCATCAAAAATTACATAAAATATGCATTAACATAAACAGAATATGTGTCGTTGTTGTTGTTAAAACCTAAGCTCCTTAAAAAATGCTTGAATATAATACGTATTAATGAGATTTTAAAAGTTTCTATTAACCATCTTGAAAGAATGCAAAATCTCTACAGTGTCTTTGCAACATCAAGTGCATTTTCAAACAGCTATAAAACATTAACAGTGTTGTGACTGAACATACTCAAACATTCCTGACACTTTCAGTTTAGAAAGAGGTGCAAATTCACAAAATGAGGCTGTTTAAAGCATCTTCCTCAAAAAATGAGACGTGGCAAAAATATACAAAATGTAATCAACCATCAGGAAGCGAGCATACTTACCTTAAAGAGAAACCAAACTGTTTGCACACCAAGTCTATAATCACCAGCGTGTCTACAATAGATGCTAAATATAATAATAATAATAATAATAATAAAGCAAAACCTCTTATAATTCTAAGGAGGATCATTGCACAAGAGAGAAGGTAATCATCAACACTAACCAACATCTCCATTGCCAACCTGTCATTGCCAGCTGTGAATACTAGAGAAAACTATATACAAAATAAAAGAGGAGGTATAGACTAGGAAACAGTAATGAGGAAGAGCACACCTGCTGATTTAAAACAGTTGAAAAATGTCAGTAGAAAAAGGTTTATGCAAATGGACAGTGAAACGATGAAGTGACCAATAATGGGAGAGCAGACAGAAGTTGAATAGAAGCGCCTGCTAGCAGCAGAACATGTTGACCTCTATCGATTCAATCGCTGTCAATCAGTTTAAAGCACCTTTAGAAATGCAAAATAAACTCTACTGACAGTTCAGACTTATTTGTTCAATATGCAGTAGATTTCAGGTGCAGTAATAAGTATGAATTGGTGCATTTCAAACTATTTGTTGAATTAAACATACGCTTCTACTTAAAATGCAATGAATATGAATGTTGGTTCATAGGGACCTCGGTAAAGTTCAGAAAGCCTGTATGTGTGGTAAAGTCTCTAAATTTGGTTAAGAAAGTACCTGCATTAATAATGTAATGTGTTATATAAAGTCAAAATCACTAAGACCACTAAAGTTCTCCCAGACCCCAGAGCAGCTCTACAGATCTCATTGTGGAAAACTTTCCAAACTGACTAGATGCAACAACCTCAAAACACTTACCATGGAGGACAACATTGTAAGACACAACAATGGAAAGGTAGTTTTTGAGTCCGAGAGAGCTGACATGGTCACTCAAGTCCATGTTCTAACCAGGCCCAACTCAATAAGGCACCAGTAAAAGTCATTTTTTGGTTCAAACGGAAAGTTGTAGGTGAGCATATTTGAAGTTTAATATCAGTTTATTCAGTGGCCATCTTGAACTCTATTTACTCTTGGTAACATACATTCAAGTACAGCTCTGATATGATTAATATCATTAATAAAATCTAACAACATTTGTAACATAAATTTGGCTTCTTTAGTGGCTAAAAACTCCTTATATAAAAGCAACTCAATTTAACTTCCATTTCTACGGCCGATATTTGACGATACGATTTCTTCCATTACATTTTTTACAACTGTGGAGTGGAAAATTCAACTAATGATATTTCACTGTGGGTAGGGCAACTTTACATAATGCTACAGAAATACAAATCAAGTAATTGCCAAAATTTCTTGTCGCTCATTCCGAATCTCACCGAAAAGATAGCTTTTAACGTTAGCTGCTTTAGCACATTCTGCCTCATTAGGACACGCTGCTACATACCTTTTGACATGTATAACAGGAAATAAAATTGGTGTTTGATGTGCATAAGCAAGTGTGCAAATTTCAGTGGAAAAATACAGTAGGTAAACAGCACAGATTAGCAGTAGGCATTAATGCTAGCTTTAGGTGCTAGCAAGAAGTTACTTCAGTTACTTACGCCTATTCTCATAGATAGCCCTGGACTTCTCATACAGGTCATAGGGGTCAGGCTTGGTCAGGTCAAACTCTGGACCTGAGGGCCAGTGCAGATATGGAGCGCTGTGAGGGAGAGCATGGATAGATAGACTGGTTGTGGGACTGCTGTGAGGATCCCAACATTCCACGACCTGCAAATACACCGGCATTCAGTAAAGCGCCCAGCGCTGAGCTTATTAATATGCTGAACTGAGTAAGCAAACTGAGCTCTTCCAGGCAACTTCCGCCTTGGAATTTCACTGGCCGTGGGATAGGAAGGTGTTTAACAATGAACTCGCTTTGTGGTAATTCGTTTTTAAATGAAGCATACACTCACACAATATGTGGCAAGTTAGTTCTAGCTCAGCAAAATAAGGCCGCATCAAGGGCTCATCAAGGACGCTTGATTTGTTTCTCTATTGCTGACGACACTGAATGTAATCTTGAATGTAAGCTGTGGGCGAAACGTTCCCAAACCACTTCAATACACCGGGATCTTGCACAACACCCAAAATTAGGTTATGCAAATAGAATGTGTGAAGAACAGTAATCAGGCATAGTCCACTTTTTCTAATATCAAAGCTGTTGCCACACATGATTTGATTGCTTGCTTTGAACCCAAGTTTGATTCCCCCACCCTCTACCTCTGCTAGTCATTTTGCACTTTTGTCATTTTTACTAGTTCCGATTCCTCTTAAAGGGGTCATATGACGTTGCTAAAAAGAACATTATTTTGTGTATTTGGTGTAATGAAATGTGTTTATGCGGTTTAAGGTTAAAAAAACACATTCTTTTCCATATAATGTACACTATTGTTGCTCCTCTATGCCCCGCCTTTCTGAAACGCGTCAATTTTTACAAAGCTCATCGTTCTAAAAAAGCGAGGTGTGCTCTGATTGGCCAGCTATCCAGTGTGTTGTGATTGGCCGAATACCTCAAGCGTGTGACGGAAATGTTACGCCCCTCACCATACTGTGATGCCGTCTCTCAGCAGGACGAGACAAAACCCATTACAAATGAGGCATTTGTTGCATCCAGCGGAGACATAATTACTGATTATAATGACTTATACTGTCTTTTTAGCCGTTTTAGGTAGGTATGGTTGACTCTTAACTTTTATAAAGAATATCTCTTTGGATTTGAGACTTTAGTCTTTGCAACTTTACAGATCTTCTTTATGCACCAAGAGCTTGTAACACTCCAAAGAGAAAGGAAAAATTTAATTTGCATCATATGACCCCTTTAACGATTAACGATTCTCTTAGTAGCTTTATAGAGTAAATATTTGAAAGAAAGAAAAAAACAAGAAATACAATTCCATTACCAAATTATGAGATGATTTCAATAAATAAATGTTAAACAATCTCTTGTTTACACAGATGTTTTTAGAATTTTTAGAACACTTCCTGATCCCAAACTTTTGAACGGTAGTGTATTTTAATAATTTTTTATAAAGTACTACTGACAAAATACATAATGTGTATCTCTAACTATACACATTGTCATATGAACAACCAGTCAATGACTACAAAAATGCAAATTATTTGGTTTCTATATCTGTTCATTTTCATGATTTAGGTCAAATTGTGTATATATGAATTGCATCAGAATGCTTTTTAAATTTCAATTAAATTTGCAAAATTTGAATAAGGTAGTAGAATTTATATAATTAAAATACAATTAAAATCAACCGAAAGAAGACATTTACCCCAATAAATCCAACTGTCAACAAGAAAAAGGAACATTTGAATTGCAATTAGTAAATTCTACTTCCTGTCATTCACATTCATACAATTCAACTTCCTGTCAGGTCGTGGCTGTTCAGTTCCAACTTTTGAACCGACAGTGAGATGATTAAATAATAGTACCCAACCCTGGACAACAAATGGATTCGGGTTTGTGCCAAAAGCTTTAGCGTTGAAAGCGCCCTAAAAGCAAAGCCAAACAAAAGGCATAATTGAAGAAGAGGAGGAAAAATCAACAAAGAGAGAAAGTAGATGCCAGACTGAGAACGATGCCAAGGCTTATTAAAGGAGGTCAGTGTTAGCATGTTAATCTGGAGGAGCTCAAGAGGATGAAGGCAAATGCCTCTGGGCTGCTGTGTGCGGCTGGGAAACAAACAGATTAAAAAGTTACTGCCAAGCAAACTCATGCACACACGCACATTAGCTCATAGATGATGTTATTATTTCCAGAGCGAAGCGCTGTGACGTACATACTCTTGCAAATAGGTTTGTGCTCAGAGCAATCGTTGCTCAAAGAGGCTCACACAGAGGGGGGGTTCAAGTCAGTTTTTAAACAGAACTTCAGCTTTGCACTGGGTTCAGGTTTGTGATGAATAAAAAAATACAGTTTTATTATAAATAGTGTATGTGCTAACTCTACTTTGAGTTAGAGTCTGTGAAAATCGGGGCATTAGAATTTACACGCTCGTAGATGAAATAAAAAGATTTTGATTTCTTTAGATTGTCAAAATGATTGTACCTCTGAGCCATTTCTGAGCGAATACTGTACATAAACATCAATATTATAACTACTGTCAGAAGTCTAAAAGATATTCACATATTTCAGTTCTATTATAAGCCATATTCATTAAGGCTGTTCTCATATGGATTACAACATTTCGGTATTTTGAAGCTCTATCCATTGCCAGTCTGTAGCAAAAGCCACATTATCATGTGCTCATATCGCATAATTTCAATCGACTGAATGATTCAGTGCTCTGACCATATAACCGTGACATTCAACGCAGGCTAATATTATTTGGACATGGATAATTGCAGAAAAAATTGACCATTTTAACATTTTCCAGTCATGAAACTCTCTCTGGCTGTGGAGACATTCTTAAAGCAAATGGTGTCTAATTAAACCCCAGCGTAAGGGAGGGACAGAGATGATAAAGCCTAAACTGCTCTACTGTACTGCAGTAGCGAGACGTTTGCTCTGTCCCAGTTCTGTTCCCTATAGAGATAGATATAAAGATATGTGTTGAAGAATGACAGTACAGTGGCCAACAGCTCGAGGCAGTGCGACTGACTCTCTGTAGAGTGAAGAAAAATCAGTCGATTTATGACCAGTCAAGCCTTTGTTATAGAAGGAGACAGGGCAGGGATCTCGAACTAAAAATAAATAAATGTGTGGGTGGATAGGTAGGCATGTAGCATGTACTGATGTAGTGTGTGTTTGTGTGTATATACGAAATTAGAATTTTCATAACTTTTCCAGTTGTGATTACTGGATTTGTAAAACATTTTTTATATAAATTACTCTCACAAAAATGCTAAATGCTAGCCGACTTGAGCATAACTAGATTTTTAAGAGAAAATATAATCAATATAATTTGATTGATTGATTTGTTGGTTTCTTTGGTTCTCAGCTGTAATATGATCACATATGGGGTTTTTTTAAGCAAGGGTTCTCACATCTTTTAATAATGAATTTCCATAACATTTTCAGTTGTGATAGATTTTCTGGATAACTGGATTATACTGTATAAATTGCACTCAAAAAAAAAAGTTTTTAATTGACCCGAGCATAACTAGATTTGGTATGTTAAAGTCAGTTGATTTATTTATTTTTTGTTTGCTCTCAGCTCTAAAATGATCACAAATTAAGTGCTTTTTTTCCAATTAGAGTTAGACATCTTTTAAAAATGTAAAACAACATTTTATCGAAATTGCACTCACAAAAATGCAAAACCTGAGCAAAATTAGATTTCACTAAAATGTATATATTTAATGTTAAATATATTTAACAAGAACATATTATTTGGCCTATTAAAATCATTTGATTTATTTGCAAATAATTATATGCCGTCATTTACCTTATTCGGTCATATACATTTACGTAAATATACATATACAGTTCAGATTTTGAAGAACATTTTCTTTAGGCTGTAGTCAAGCAGACAAAACAGTTGAGAAAACTGGATCAGAATCAGAGGACATTACAGAGACAGACTGCTGCTGAGGGTCAAGGTTTTATGTGCCACATTACATAGTGCACTGGTTAGTGAGAGAAGATCAGTGAAGGTGCAGTGATTTGTTCTCTGCTGTATTAAGTGTTTATTTCAACTGGGGTCCCCACAGCTTTTAACAAATGAATTTCCACAACCTTTCCAGTTGTGATTAGTGGATTTTTAAAACAATTCTGCACTCACAAAAAGCTATTTCTAGCTGACTTGAGTATAGACAGATCTCTAAAAAGATTTTAATAGAACAAATTATACTTGTAACTAGAAAATATTATTTGTTCTATTAAAACTGATTGATTTATTTTAAAATACTGTAAAAGTATAGCTGCCGTTTGGCATTGTAGTGGTGTATCTATGAAGCAAATTAGTCTCTTACTGTATCTGTCTATTAAGAGACACAAGCAGTAGCTTAGTACAGTGCAGTTAGTGGTAATATGTTATAACAATATAATAAAGCCTCTATTATGCATTCATCTTAGTAATAAAGCTCAACAGTCATGGCTATTCATACAGATGCTGTATAATGTATAATGTGACCTAATCACTCAATATTGAGAGTACACGCTTGATGTTAGTTCTTTTAATTAAATTCAGAGGGCTGGAATACGATACGTTTTACCTGTTTAGAAGTCTTCCAAGGTGAAAAGTGACCTGCAATGGAGAACAAAACCTTTAGCATGCTGGATCTTTAGTTTTATATTTGAAGTGGGAATTTGAAGCAAATCAAAACAGAAAAAAAGCCAGACGATAACCTTTTATTATTTTGTTTACACAGCAGCTGTTCCCTATTGAGCTACATTCTCAGCTGTGTGAATGCAGTTTCATTTATTTATTAATTTTTTTAGCTAGTATTTTATTTTTTTTTGTAAGTGGGGTCTAAAAGTCATTTCTGAGATCACATCTATTTTGTAATTTAATTCTAATTTAATGCAAAATGTTAATACAACTTTGTGGAAAATAATTTGGGAATGTTTCAAAAGCAACATGTCTTTCAATGGAAGGAAGGAAGTCTAAACTTTTATAAAAAGAAGTTCAAATCAACCTATTTGATTAATGGCCTAGAAATAGTGCAGAATTAATATTTACTATTTTTTTTATTTCAGACTTGTCTCATTGGTTTCAGTAATTCAGTCATTGCATTAATTTCTACCAATTTACTTAATTTGCTGAAATTGTTGTGGTGTTGTGTTAAGCATCAGTGTGGCATTACAAATTGAACAGCATTTAAAATCAAGACCATTTAATCTGTATTACAACCTGTTAGAAAACACTCTCTGTCTGTATTGGTTCCAGATGTTTTCACCCCTCCTTTTCTTCTCTCCCTCTCTCACTCGCCCTCCCTGTACAGCGCACTGTTGTCACTCTCTGATTCCCCCATCCTCCATCTGATCTGCTCTCTCTCTCTTGTATTATGTTTTAATATCTCTTACTCATATTCGAGGTACGCATGCGCACATGTATGCATTAGCTTTTCTTGGTTCAAATGTTCAAATGAGGACACGATAGCTAGGACTCCAAGGTAATGGGGTTCGTGATGAACTATGAAGATAGTTCAGCATCCTTCGCCAAGTTTATTCCTAATATGTCCATATTTTCCTGTACATGTGGCCATTTTGTATAACACATATTCTTGGCCAACATCCTATATGTATGTCATCTATATCCTCATTGGTTAAAGGGTTGAAACTCCCCTCGACATATGCCTATATAATATCTTTGTATCTATGAATAAAGTTGAAGTATTGAGAATACAATTTGATGTGTGTTTTCTTGTTTCCCGGCCGTTATATACTTTAAGGGACTGAGAATTTTCCAGGTGGCAAAGAGAATCTATAGGGACCGATTGTTAATTACTGACACAACCGAAGATACAATTCAAACAGCAGCTATTCAAATATCTATTCAATTCAGTATTTGCTCCTCTCTAAAGCAATTGCGTTTTGAGGACAAGTGGTTATTATTTGAATATTTCATGTATCTGTTGAGAAAAATAGAGATTTGAATGTAAAATATACAAGTTTGACCCTAAGGACTGTATTTGTTGATCCTTTTTCATGACAAAAAATCAAAATCTCCTGTTGCAATCAATGAAAGGACGCCCAAATCCAATGACAGAAAGATGCTTAAAATGCACCAAGCGGCATCTTCACATCTCATCAAATGCCCATTTTCCCCCTGGAGGAAAAACATTGACTGAGAGGAGGCGAAAGTCCACGAGGCTTCTGAACTCTAATCATAACAAACAGGAAGCAGTGGCAGTGTAGAGCACCTCTTCTGGTATTAAGAGCTAAACAATATTCGCCAACATCAAACGGCAGATTCATGAATATTTTCTCTCTAAACTCTTCCTAAATCGGCCTTGAAATGCACAAAACAAACACACGCATACACAGGCCGTCCAGTGTCTTGCATTCAACTTCTCCCTCTCTGTCTTTCATGTCTTACCACAGATGACCTTCAGGAATGAACAAGGCGATGCAAATGACCTGTTTGGGATTTGGATCGGGGGAAGAGAGAAAGAGTGCACAAACATACTAGAGCTGCACAGTTAATCCAATAAGGAATTAAGAATATGACTGCGGTTAAATTTATTGCTAATCTAAAACTATTTAATTTTTATGATTATAAATTATTTTAATAAAAAATGTACATGTATAATAAATATTTTTTATCGCAGCAATGTTGTGCATGTTTTTTTTATTGTTAAATTAAATCGGCTTTATATTGGTCTCACTGTTCTCAAAGTTATCGACCATTTAAAACCATATTAGTCAATCACTACTTGTAACCAATTACATACATATTTATTGTGCACATGAATGCAGTTTCATTTATCATAATCAGAACTCTGCATATGGACAGTCAGTGAGCTTGTGGTGAACCACAAGGCCTGAACAGTCATGTAAAACTGTGTAAACTTCACCGTCAAATGTTCTTCAATGGTTTAGGAAAGATCCACTTCTTATTAAGAAGTATTTTTCACTGTGTAGGGTTCCTGAATTGCTATATGGAGATGAAAATGCTACTGATGTCATTATAAGCTTGTCAGATTTTTAATTTCGTTGACGAATAATTTTCGTCAACAACATTTTTTCATCAATGAAAACGAGACGATAACGAAATAAAAACGCAAAAACCATGATGAAAATCAATTGACATTTTCATCAACGAATAAAAACGAGACGAAAATGTTAGGGAGGGACGATTTGGTAAGAGATCCAATCAGATCTCCTGCATGGTTAGGAGGTTAGATGCGCACATTTGGACTGTAGCAGCCTACTGATTTATCTGGCGGGACATAAGCTAGCATACACTTGCTGCACGTCTCATGAAGCGTTAAAAAATTTCAATATCTGGGAGTAAGAGAAGAGCAGACATATGGATCAATTTGAAAAGCATGACAATGCAAAAGAGAACTCAATTCGGTCCAGTTTTCTGAGCGCACACACCCGAAGCGCGCACACAGAAAAGCGCCTCTCACACAGCGCACGACTGAATTCAGTTCTCTTTCACGTCAAATGAATGGAGAAATACACACAAAATGATGTCGAATTGTCCGTTTTGACGAGTATTCACGTAAACACTCGGTTACGTCACAAGTGAGCGTAAACAGTTTGGTGTATATCGGATGTGTATCAGTATAAAAACATCCGTGCATTCGGTTTTAAAGGGACAGAAGCCTAATTTAGTTGCTGTTGTATGTGTCATTTAATGTTAATCAAGCAACAAAAGAAAGCGAGAAAATCACTCACTGCTCTTGATTGAATGACTTTAGTGAGCCTAATAAGGATTAATCTAAATTGATTTATATAAAGTCTGCTTGAAAGAATGAAGAATGTGGTAAGTTATTATAAAGAACGAATATTATATAACCATTGGTATTTAACTGAAAGGAGGACCATGTTCTTGTTTCTTTATGAGAAGTGGTTTTAATTCATTTTAATATAAAGGCATGTTGTGTCAAAACAGTTCCGTGTCTGTGTCTATATTGCATGATAAAACCTTAATATCAAACCTATATAGGACATTTTAGAGAAATGCTTAATAAAAGCATTACACTAACTAAACCCATCTACTGTAGATTTAGTTGACTAAAATCTTATGACATTTAGTCGACTAAAACTACACTAAAACTAAAGCAATTCAGATGACTAAGACTAAATAAAAATTTGCTGTCAAAATTAACACTGGTCAGAACAGTATATTTGCTCTTTAAGGCTCCAGGTTGATTGTGATTAAAATAGCGATTATATTGACTTCTGATGTACAAAACATCAGTAAAATAATTCAGAAATAGTCCTTTGCTCTTTTTGGATGAGTAGCCTACATAAAGAATCTGACATGCTCACTCCTACAAAATAAGTAGTTTAATGTACACAAAATTCTAATTGAATTTAACTGATGAGTATTCCCATGTATTTTACCGAAACCGTGGTTATATCACATGTACTGTACATTTACTTATGTTTTCCTAGACACTAAAGCATACATTATTCACGTACTGACATAATCTAAAATGCAAATCATTTACATATGAACAACTTTACAGATATAGATGTTTACAAATCCTCTCTATGAATAATCTATGAATATTTCATTCATGGAATTAATTGGTTGATTCTATTTATGATCAATTGGGTTTATTTATTTATGCACTGTATTTGTGATCAATGGGATTTATTTAACACAGTTAAACATTTTATTCTGTTCTATGATTCTAGTGCTACCTCGGTTCAAAAAATGACAATTTTGAATAGTGGTCGACCGATATGGGTTTTTTGACATCCGATGCCGATATCTTGGAAAGCAGGGTGGCCGATATAATTTTATTTATTTTAATTTATATTTAAGAAATTTGAAATAATTTGAAAATGGATTAAAAATAATTGTGTAAAATAAACATACTTAAACTTTAGAAGACAAAGCATTTTTCACAAATAAATAAATATTTAATACAAATCTAATTAAAAAGGAAGTAAACACTGTAACCAACAGGGCACTCTGTATTCTGGGAAGTTTGTGTGAATAATTTATTTTTTTCAAATAAAGCCAAGGTAACACTCATTTTACATACAGCACACAGTGAAAATGACATGAATATGACAGTGGGCAACTGCATAAAGCGCAGCATAATTTCAAATCACGAGTTTAAAGTTTGTCGATCCCACGTCTCCAGTGAAGCTGAACTCTCTTCCTGTCAGCATTCAATTTGCACGGATAGACCGTCAACCAGAGAACACGCGATAATGCAGGATACAAATGCACACTTCACAAGATCTCAACTAGATTCGACTAAATCTGCAAGGTTTGTGAAATTAAATGTTCATTAGTCATTCAAAGATTCAAATCACGAGTTTAAAGTTTGTCGATCCCACGTCTCCAGTGAAGCTGAACTCTCTTCCTGTCAGCATTCAATTTGCACGGATAGACCGTCAACCAGAGAACACGCGATAATGCAGGATACAAATGCACACTTCACAAGATCTCAACTAGATTCGACTAAATCTGCAAGGTTTGTGAAATTAAATGTTCATTAGTCATTCAAAGATTTGTTTAAATTATATAAATGCGTGTTTGCTGAATGCTGACGGCAAATGAGAAAGTATTCTAATGTTTGCCTTTCTATTACTAATAATATTAAAGCAATCGTTATAATACTTTTTTGTATACATTTTAATTCATTTGATTAGATAGACTTATATCCATATTAGACAGAACTGAACGATGGCAGCGAACAAGAAGAAAAATTATCATTATCAGCGCCATCAAAAGTCCCGCCTCGAACACATCGGCCAAACAGAAAAACGTTTATTATTTGAAAAATGCCAAATATTGGCCGATATATCGGCATTGGCGATATATCGGTTGACCACTAATTATATATAGAATATTATATAAAGAATAACTTTAAAGTGAATGACTTTTATCATTACTTAACATTTAACCATTACATTTAACACATTTTCTGAATATGCTGAAAATGCATAAAAAAAAATTTTTTTTTTGAAAAGTGGTTATGCTTAAATTTAAGATTTTTATTAAGGCTGTTAAATTTTTAAATCAGATTAATCACACCCTTTTTGAGGTGATTAATCACGATTAATCACACACTTATCATGAAATTAAGCATACACCCTTTATCTGGTTTAACATTTTGTCATTATTTGCTATATCCTGCAATGTAAACCAAAAGACTGAAGGGTGATTCTCACAAAACTGTATTTTCTGCAAGTTATTTTACAAATAAAATTTGATGTCTTTTCCAAAAAAGGACACTTGGAGACCAAAAAAAACATTAAAGAACCAAAACATTACAAATCAAAGCATAATCCTGAATGTGAATGGAAACAATGTGAATGTTCAGAAATGTGTCTGTGCATAAATACAATGCATGATGAGTGCATCGAGAGCGCTCATACATGGTTTGTTTGCACATATATCATACTCACGCATGTTTACGGTACAACTCCTGTACGTCATCGCAAACATCTTTACCTTGATTGCAATCCTCATCCAATAAAACTTTACTAGTGAATTGGATACAAGTACTCATTACATTGATTGCAATCCTCATCCAATAAAACTTTACTAGTGAGATGCTGGTTATCCAGACGAGAAACGTGCGTAGGCCTATCATCTGGCCATACAGCCGTGGGATGTTTTCAGTCTGTATTTCACACAGTGCGATGCATGAGGGATCACGCTCCTCAGAGACAATCACAGAATATGCCAGAGCTCGTGTTTTAAAGCATAACACTAAATGAATAATTCACTGAAAATGCAACATGAGTTTCTATTCTCTCCGCCATCTCTGATGTGATCAGCCTGGTTTTCTTTACATTAGCGCTGTTTTGGACTGACTGTTTGAATGCATTGCCTTACTGGATCATTGGACTGAAGAACGTCCCTAAGTTTAGTGGTTTAAAATGATCTGATCGCAAACAGTGAAGCAAAACTTCGTTAAAGGGTTAGAATAGAAATTGCGCTTCAGTAATTTTGTGTTAATTACGTTACATTATTTTAGCATTGACAACCCTAATTTTTATATAAATTTGTAAATATGTAACACTTTCCATTTTTGTTGTGTCCACATTGTTCACATCAGCATACCCAAACATGCAAAAAAAGAATATGTAATGTATATAATGCCATGTAGAGACACCTACATATAAACAATGAGACTAGGCTGGAAACTCAGGATCCTCTGATTGTGATTATAATGCATTATAATGTCTTTTTAATGTGAAGGTGATCTTTTTGAGTTTCTAATGTATAATACAGAAACAGTCCTCAGCTCTTTTTGGACGTACAGCCTACATAAAGAATCTGACATGCAGCCGCCTCACACAAAATAAGTATTTTAATGCACACTAAATTCTAATCGAAATAAATAATCACACACTGATACTCTTTCTTCATGCTGCATTTACGACACAAGCATAACGGTAACTGGCTGATTAAAAAGCAAAGTGCAGCGTGTTGCCGTCGGCTGGGCATGAGTCATCAAATAAGGAGCAGAGAGTCCAACAGGCCACAACTGGGCTGCTTCAGTGAGCAAGGCTGAGCAAGAAATCAATGACACTAGCTGAAAAGAAAGCAAAGTGGCTTGATTGTGCTTCATTTGTATGGATAGAGAAATGAATGGAACAGTGCTCTGGAGAGCACATATACAAGTCATATCAAGCCTCATCAATGGGTGAAAATCAAATGGTCTTCTGAGGCAAAAAGATGAAAACATACTTTCCCAAAAAAGAAAATATTTGCTGAAAGTAGTGCTTTGCTAAAAAACAGGAGCTGCTGGTGCATGGCGGTCAATGGCTATAAATCACAATAAATGAACACAGAAAACAGTGAATAACAATGCTCGAATTTCAATTCCTAATGTAGTTCACATCACTTCACAGGTCTTAATTAGCTCACGGATGCGGCTGTTAAATATCTCGCCCAATTTGAACCTGCACTGTATGACACATTCAAATAATCACGTCCTAGATTCTGCAACATCCTTGATGCATATAAAGCAGATTATGCTAATAACATTCATCAAATGCCGTAAATTTGTATGATGCAGGTGAGACTAGGAGAAAACGTAATCCAGACAGGCTTCTATTAGTAAATGTGTCCCACAACATCCTGCCATCTGGCAATTACGGAAAAGTTGCCTACTTGTCCAAATTTGCTATTCACTAATTGGTGATCACATGAGTGGAGGATGACAGCAGGGAGAGAAG